TCCAAACCTCTCTTCAAGTGAATACCTTTTTTTTTGGTCTTTTTGACTCCCTGTAACCCCAGCTGGCCTGGAACTCACTATGTAGACCAGGCTGGCCTTGAACTCACAGAGATCTGCCTGCCTCTGCCTCCCGAGTGCTGGGATTAAAGGCGTGCACCACCATACCTGGCTAGTGAATACTTTTTGCAAAAATATTGCTGGGCTCATTGTGGATGCAGTAACCAAAAAATTTGTCAATCTGATAGAAACGATCTTAACATAATTCCAGTTTGATTTTTGAGTTCTATGTTAAAAAAAATTTGAGCAGAAATTCTCTTCTACTCTTGTTCTTGAGAGCTTGTTTGGAGGTTCTAGCAGGGAAGCACAACTATTCATATACCCTTGATTGGTCCTACTCTATCGGGGAAGGTGGTCCTCTTTGACCTAGCCCGCAGCTTTCAGAGGGATGCACATGGAGCTTTGAGGGAGGAAGGGGACACCCACCTAACCAGCCAAATCAGCTGAATCAACCATGGCCATCAATGGGGTGACAGGTGTTGCAGCCAGATAGCCCTCACATCCTACTCTTGTACTTAATAGTGAGTTAAGTACTGATGGGTACTTTGCGGTCAGTCAAAAATGCTTTGCTGATTGAGTATGATAGAACATGCCTGTAATCCCAGCATTCAAAAATCTGAGGCAGGAGAATCATGAATTCCCAACCAGCCTAGTCTACATAGTGAGACCTTGTTTCAAACAAACAAAAAAGTCTGCTCCCACCCAGTTAGTCTACCTTAGCTGCATATGGAGAGAGGGTCAAAGGATATATAAGCTGAGAACACCAAGAGGCACCTCTCTCACCATTTTGTACAACTATCTGGAGGTCTCGGAATCTGTATTTGAGTGTGGACTTAAATATACACTAATTTCGGCGCAGCCTTAAATGTGGGGCGCCCACTCTTTTGTAAATAAACCCCTACCCTATGCTCTGTTAAAAAATAATAATAACAAATAAAATATTAAATATTTTAAAAGAGCAAGTCCAGTGATTGTAACTTTACAAAGTAAATAATTAAAATGTGTATTTGAAAGCCAGGGCATATTGGGACTGGAAAGATGGCTCAGAAGTTGAGCATTTCCTGTGTTTCCAGAGGACTCCAGTTCCGTTCCCAGGACCAAATTAGGTGGCTCACAACCACCTGTAACTCAAGCTCCGGGAGCTAAAACCCCCTCTTCTGGTTTCCATGGAAATGCACACACATATATAGCATACTTTCATCCAGATATACATACAAATAAATAGAAAATCTTTTTTAAAAGAAAGCCAGGCCAGCCAGGCATGGTGGCGCACACCTTTAATCCCTGCACTCAGGAGGCAGAGGGAGGCGGATCCTCTGTGAGTTCGAGACCAGCCCAGTCTACAGAGTGAGTTCCAGGACAGCTGGGGCTACTGGGAGACCCTATCTCAAAAAGACCAAAAAAAAAAAGCCAGGCCAGTACTACATTCCTGTAATCCCAGCACGTGGAAGACTATGACAGAAGAATCTGGAGTTCAAGGTCATCCTTTATTACATAGCTGGCTCAAGGCCAGCCTGAGATACTGTCTCAAAAAACAAAATAATAATGATAACAATAATAATAGGAGAAATAATCACCAGAGATAATTGCCTTAAAATGTGTATTTGGCATGTGATTTGTCTTTTAATTTTTTTTTTTTTTTAGATGGGTCTTTTTGTTTTTTTGGGTTTTTTTTTATCTTTTTGAGACAGGGTCTCCCTGTAGCCCCAGCTTTTCTGGAACTCACTATGTAGACCAGGCTGGCCTTGAATTCAGGGAGATCCTTCTGCTTCTGCCTCCCAAGTGCTGGGATTAAAGGCGTGTGCCACCACACCCAGCCTATTATTTTTATTTTACATGTATGAGGTGTATCACCTGCAAGTATGTGAGTGCACCCATGTCGTGCAATGCTGTGGAGGTCAGAAGAGGGCTTTGGATTCCCCTGGAACTGGAGTTAAGGATGGTTTGTAGCTGCCTTGTGGGTGTTGGGAATAGAATTCCGGTCCTCTGCAAGAGCAGTCAGTGCTCTTAACCACTGAGCCATCTCTCCAGCCCCTTGTCTTTTTAAGTTGGAATGAAGTTTTGCCACACATTTTTTTCTTTCCTAAACATAGAAATTTGGCTATGAGAAATGTGTTGATCTACCTGTGTGCTTATATCAGTACAGAGATTAATAGACTATTGAGTCCACTTTTTAATTTTCAAAATCTACAAAAACTGTTGTCCTAAACTGTTGTGACATACACCTATAATCCCTGCATTTGGGAGGTTGAGGCAGAAAGATTAAGAGTTGAAGATCACCCTTGGCTATGTAGCAGGTTTGAAGTCAACCTGGTCTGCATGAGACTGTCTTAAAAAACAAAAGCTATTGTCCTGTTTTTATGTGAATAATTCTCCTTAGAAATGGAAGTGGCCCCTCCAGAAGAAGCGGGGGCGGGGCTCACCTGTGCTCCTGCTCCTTCCCTTCACTGCAGCTGTATTGTTTCTCTTCAGTAATGCTAATAAAGTCTTGTGTATTTCGTTATGAGTTTAATCTATTGGATCTTAGCCTCTTGGGACTTACTATGTCTTCTTCTCTTTTAATGTTAACACTTAAATTAGTGTCATGTTATTTTCAGCCTGTTGTGGTGACACACACCTTTAATCCCAACACTCAGGAAGCAGAGGTAGGCAGATCTCTGTGAGATCTGAGGCCAGCCTGGTCTACCTGGTGCTTTCCAGGCCTGCTGGGGCTACAGGAAGACCCTGTCTCTTGTACTGCTACGAGCTCAAATAGATGCAGAAGAACCACAGTTGGTCAGTGGAAACTACCATATCAAATGGAAAAGGAGACATAGTTTCTAACATCCTGGAAAAGCATGCATAGTAGCCACTTCACACTTAGAAAACCCTGTTTTGGTTTTGGTTTGCCAATTTTAAATAGTTTTATTGAAGACATTGCATTTTCCACTTACAGTGCTTATGAAGTACAGTGTTACTTCATTTTCCTGTGCACCTGATTCAAGTATTGAGAATGCCCAGTAATTTATTTTAGCAGCTCAACTTTAAAATTGCCATAGAACCTCCTAGATTTAGGTTCTTTAAATATCTTGTAGAACAATGCTACATCTCTACTTGGGTGTACTTAATGGAGCTCCCCCACCAGGGAGACCCCCAGGCATTCCTCCCAGCATGCCACCAGCACTCTGCTACAGCTTGGTCATGATGGGGTTGCAGACTTTCTCCAGTTCTTTCTGGTGGTGTTCAGATTCTTCCTTCTCAGCAGTCTGATTCTTTTCCAGCCAACTGATGATTTCATTACACTTATCTTGTTTGTCCTCATCATTGATCTTACCTTGAAGTTTCTCATCTTCAACTGTTGCTTTCATGTTGAATACATAGCACTCCTGTGAATTCTTCGAAAATATGGAATACTTCATGAATTTGCATGTCATCCTTACGCAAGGGCCGTGCTAATCTCTGTATCATTCTAATTTTAGTATGTGTGTGCCAAATCAAGCACAGGAAACCCAATTTTTATAAACTATTCTTTCAGTTATAATCAGTATACTTACATGTTCAATACTGGTTTAAACTTATTTCCTCTTCACTCAATATCCAGGTAACCACCATATCCAAACTTACTAACCTTGATTATAAATACTGGTTCATATCTACCCAAATTTTGTCACTCCTTCAGATTCTTACCATCTCTGACCTGGGTACTGCAAGACCTTACTTGACTCCCTACCTTCAGGTTTGGCCTTGCAATTTCTTCTTTGACACTCCTAGAGTAGCTTCTTGAAACTATGATCACATGGGGGTATACCTGAGTAATAAAGTACAACTAATGTGTGTGAGGCCCTGGATTCAATCCCTTGGAAAAAAAGAAAAATCACAGCATCCCTTTGTTTGATGCCTATAAGAACATACAGATCTCTTAGCTATAGTTCCCCACCTTTAATGCTTGCTGTGCTCTTTAGTTTTAAATACTAGGGCTGGAGAGATGACTTAGTGGTTAAGAGCACTGGCTGCTCTTGCAGAGGATCTGGGATCGATTCCCAGCACCCACATGGCACCTAACAGTTCCAGGGGATCCAGTGCCCTCTTCTGACCTCCACGAGCATTGCACTACATGGCTGCACTTACATATATGTAGGCAGTACACTCATACACATAAAATAATAAAATATTTTTTAAATATTATAATAGCCCTACATCGTTATTCTCATAGGGCTCCTCTTCAAGGCCCCATGCATGTAAATACATAAACACAAAGCATACACGTCACTAATACATATATATACACATAACACAGATTATTCATACTCAAGAATTGATCAAGGGTTCTCGCTTTGTGAAGTCTTTGTATTTCAATTCTTAGTCCAAATCTGTTCAAACTACTCTTTCCTCTCTTGTTCTGGGCACCTTATTACTTTGGGTGTCTTCTCGTAAAGTGAAGGTTCCTCCAAGGCAACAACCGGATTCTACTATTTGAATAATTGTAAAGGATGGTCCTATTTATCCCCACCCAACTCCTCTTCACCCTGCATGTTATCTTTCTTTGCCCTTAATGATTGCTTCTATAAGACGAAATGTAAAGACCCAAGGCTTAGTCAATACCAAAGTCATTGGCAAGAGTGAAACAAAATGCATGAAATGGAAATTTTCCCCTGTGTGTTCCAGAGGGTTATCATACCTATAACAGGTGGGTGAAACTAACATTTGTCTTAACTTTATTGTCACGAAATCCCCTTCAAACATGTTAAAATTTCAGTGAAAACTCATTTTTCAAATTTCTTTAAGTTTTAAAATAATAAGTTATAACAAAAACATGATGACATGAAAGCTCATAAACATGTCTTAATTCTAGGAAGATTTGCAGTCAGCTAAAGAAGAGAGATTCCCCTCGATCCACAAACCTATTGCTGTTGGCTCTCAGCCAATGCTCACTGTTGGAACAACCCACATATCCAAGCTGACAGATGACCAGCTCATAAAGGAGTTTCTTAGTGGCTCTTACTGCTTTCATGGGGTGAGAAATGAAACTTTAAATAGTTATCTTACAACTTTTATATGTCAGTTATCTAATCCATGAGCATTAGAAACACTAAACAAAATGTTTGGGACCGGGGTGTTTGCTTTGGATTGTTTGAGACAGGGTCTCACTACGTAGTACTGGCTGGCCTAGAACCTGCTATGTAGACTAGGCTGGCTTCAAACTCACAGAGATCCACCTGCCTCTGCCTCCCAAGTGCTGGGATTAAAGGTGTGGACCACCACACCCTGCTGAACAAAAGGTTTTTGCCTACAGGGAAATGGCAGAATCCTGCCATCCCAAGTAGATATTTTTACTGGGTAGTCACATACTCCACCTCTCTAATCTATAGCCATTGTATTCTCTTACAGCATGAAAACATGATCTTTCTATGGCAATCATGTAGGATTTTGGTTGATTGTTGGAATGGGCATCAGTGATTGTATTTCCCACATTTTGGTTATTACAATTCAAATTTGAGTTCAACTTCTGGAGGAAAATTTTGCTTCTGACCATTAAGTCCACAGGGAAATACACTCAAAGTAGAATTTTCATCTTGTTTTGTGAAGGCAGTGAGGCAATTAATTTTCAACCATTGATTTTACAGAATATAAAAGATGTCTTTCCACCAATGTCTTTTGGCAATGTTACATTAGTCCACAGTCCCCATGTCTCTGTGCATAACTTTATCTGTTTCTTCCCTTTAGGGTGTTGGTTGGTGGAAATACGAATTCTGCTATGGCAAACATGTACATCAGTACCATGAGGTATAGCATAGCATTTATGCATCATTCTACCGCTAGATGGATTGAAGTTTGTTTTCCTGTGATGGTGCTTACACCCAGGCCTCATACACTCTTATTAACACTGAGCTACATCACCACCTCTAGATTAAAAGTTTTTAAAATCCTCTGGAGCCAGGTATGGTGGTGCACACCTTTAATCCCAGCACTCTGGAGGCAGAGGCAGGTAAAATCTCTGAGAGTTCAAGACCAGCCTGGTCTACATAATGAGTTCCAGGCCAACTGGGGCTACAGGGAGACCCAATCTCAAAAAGACAAAAAAAAAAATCTGTGGAGGCCTGGGGTGATGACTCAGTGTTAAGAGTACTTACTGAGCTTACTGAACTGGTGGCACATGCCTTTAATCCAGCATTCAGGAGACAGAGGCAGGTGAATCTTGGAGATCCAGGCCAGTCTGGTCTACATAGTGAGTTCCAGGCCAGCAGGGGCTACAGGGAGACACTGTCTCTCTCTCTTAAAAAAAAAAAAAAGTGCTTACTGCTCTTGAAAGGACCCAAGTTCAGTTTCTAGCACTCCTATCAAGTAGCTCACAGCCTCCTGTAACTCCTGCTCTAGGGGATCTGAGGCTTTCTGGCCTCCACAGGCACCTGTACTCAAATGCACAGACATATGTACATACACATAATTTTTTTTTTAATCTTTAGACTTTTCTATGGAAAAAGAAGGGCATTAATAATTTTAATCATGAGGGTTTTTTTGTTTTTGAGACAGGGTCTCACAACAAAGTAGCCCTGGCTGGCTTTGAACTTGCTATGTAGACCAGGCTGGCCTCTGCCACCCGAGTGCTGGGATTAAAGGTGAGCACCACTATACCCTGCAGGAGATGGTTATGATACGGAAGTACTGATCATAGTATTTCCAATTTTGGAAACAAGAAAACCTAATATTAACTAAATTAGTTATTATGGAGGAGTATTGTTCACTAACTACCCATATTCTTATATTACCATGAGCCTGGTAGAATAATAGACTATTGGGACTGTTCTTTAAGAAATTATTCTTCTAACTCATCTTTAAGAAATGAATAATACAGGGCTGGAGAGATGGTTAAAAGTATTTGCTGCTCTTGGAAAGGACCTGGGTTCAATTCTCAGCATTCACATGGCGGCTCCATTGCCCTCTCTGGCCTCTGAGGGCACCGCACACGTATAAACATGGTGCACGTATATACAGGCAGAACAGTTATAAAATAAAAATAAATCTTTTTTTAATATAAGATACTACATTAACAATAGAGTTGGTCAGACTTGGTAAGTGGTAAGTGTACCAAGTTTTTCAGCTAAAAGAAAGTACCATTTTGTCTTTGGGTTTTTGAGACAAGGTCTTGTGCAACCCAAGGTACCCGTGAGCTCATATAACCATATTTTTAACCAGACATTTGCTGGTGGTCCTTTTAACTTTTTGCTGTGATAATGTTTGGTTTTTCTCTTTTGTGTTTTGAGACAGGGTCTCTAACCCAAACTAGCTTCAGACTCCCTGTGTAACCAGGGGTGACCTTGAGCTTCTTATCCTCCTGCCTCTACCTCCTGAATACTAGCATTACATAACATGCTCTACTAGTAATGCCGTCTCTGTTTACTTGGTGCTAGGGACCAAACTCAGGACTTTGTGTGCTAGGCAAGCACTCTGTCGACTGAGCCCCATTCCCAATCCACTACCACAGTA